TTTCTATTACATATAATTATGACCAATTATACTGGTCTAAATGAATGTTTTATCGGCTGATTGGCTTTATATAAGAATTGCAATTTTCCTGAATTGTGCGTCAATTTATTAATTGTAACGCAATATCATTGTATTGTATTGCATAAATGTCAAATCTATTTACTTAGTTTTTGATTCGACTTGACATATCGAAAACTAATGTCATTTATTTGATAGTTATGGCACAGTTTTCAGGATTTTATTTTAAATCGCGTATTTTAATTGTTTACTAAAAGTAATAAAAATATATTTTAATATGTGAGTACTTTGAAATGATCATACAAATTTGCACCTAAATCATTAATAATTTATCATGATTTTATAATAATTTTTTTAATCTATTATGTTAACAGATATCTGTCAATAACATTTTGTGTGAGCTCAATTCATTAAGATAAATATGTTGCCAAATATTTACAATAGCTAGAAAAGTTTGCAATGATTTCTAACTTGTAAAATCTAAAAATCAAAATTTAAATAGTAACTCAATAATATTATGTTACTTCATTTAGTAATTGTAATTTTTGAGAGATGTATATTTTATATAGACATTTTTACTGTTTTTAAAATTAAAATTGACTTAAATTTGATAGACTTATTTAATGTTATTGGGGTTCGCGTTTTGTTTTTACAACAATATTAATTTACGTAAAAATGTTAAATTTTGTATCTAAAATTTATTCTATGTATTTTTTCAGTGAAAATAATACAGTCGTTTTAAGAAATACTATAGCTTTTTCATTTAGTCTGAATTTTTAATTTTTTTAAGAAAAATCTTTGATTTGTAAAATAGCTTTTGTATAATCGAATTATTTGAAATCTAATGTCAGTTATAACTACATAGTAATTATATTAGAAAAACAAAACATAATTCGAACTTTTTAAAATAGTAATTAAAAAAAATTTATTTTAGCATTTTCAAAATGTTATCTTTTGTTGTACTATTTGTTATGTTACCCTTTCAGCTTATATTCCAATTATACAGGATATATAAAATATCCACCTAGATATAAATCTTGGTTTTATAGTACTTAGCCTTCAGTTTATTGTTTAATTAACAACATAATTAAAACGGTTGTGCAAAATTTCTATTGTTTTTGGTTTAGATCAATGGTCGAAAATAATTTTATGAGATTTGATACACATAAAAAGCAAGATATTTTAATTAACAGTAAAGTATATAATTAGTATATAAACTTATTATAACTTAGTATACAATTTAAATATATTTTATAATTTAATACATTTTTCATCTGACCATTTGTCAATTTATTTTTACTGCATATTAAATTTAAATAACAATATTCAACGTTATTGCTACGACGCTGCAGTTTAGTCTATTCGCTACCAGATGGCTACTCTGGTACTCGTCTGTCACTAATCGATATCGCTGGTACGGTACCCAAGTGCAAAAGCCCGAACGTAAGAGGATTGTATCAAATAGTACCCTCGGCCATTTCGTCCCACTAACAACATACGAAGTGGAGGGAAGAATCGTCTACCGTCGCCGTGGGGCCATAAGAGAACTACAACTCTCACGGACGGGTTATGCGGTGAAGGGTAGAAGAGAATTTCGTGACTGGAACGAGGAGGGACAAACGGCAGTGGAAGAACGACTCTACCAGGTCTGACGCCGTCAGTCTCCGTCCTACGCATCCAGCGCATGACGTCGTGTGCTTTGTTTCTGTCACGTCTAGCGTGTACAGTGTTATCTCTTCTTTTTTTACCGTCGTATTATTTTTACAGTTTTGTCAATTATTTTTATACTATTGCAGAATGTCATCGTTATTAGCAAACTAGCGAAAAGTTTATGTTTAGCATTAGAATTTAGTACAGTGTGAAAATATAAGAGGAGTACCTGTAAAATGCTGCTGTGAATAGAGTAATACAGCGGCGATATCGACCACATTTCATGTGAAAATTATGGATAAGTATGTGATCAAATTTTATTGTACTTAGTAAATTTACTATTATAACATTATAAAATTCTATAAACATCAAAACTACTTATTTGAAATGAATTGGTTATTGTACAAAAGTATTGAAAAAATTATTCTTTTATCCACCTATTTGTGCATTAGGCAAAGTTCATTTCTATAAATAATTATTATGCATTTTTAGCGTAGTATAGATCTTAACAAAAAGTTGTAAAATAAAATATTAAATTGCATAGTTAATTTTACGTGGGAGTATCGGAAAGATATGGCGCAGAGTATCAAGAAAATGTAGAGAAAATGTAATTTAGTATATTAATTAAATGTATATAAAGTTATACTTCAATGGGTTGAGATTTAAACCGAAGTAGTATTAATATCATTCTTTGTTTTGTATTTATCGACCGTGGAAGTGTAATGACTGCTTTTTTAGACACATCGATTTGTTCTACTGGCATTGACTTTTCCAAAAAGTAATCCTTATGTATCTTGTTAGTAAATAAGTAACACGCTCTGAACCTGTTTTATATTTTAAATAATTCGATACCAAGTTTGATTGTAACCCGGAGAAAAAACATTTTATTATTATTACCCTTAGTTTGAACGAGTACTCAGTATATTAACTCTACAGTGTCTGTTGAAAAAAATAAAAAAAATAACATAATACAGTTATAAGAAGTATAATTTGTATAGTAAACATGAGAAGCAAACTGAAACACGAATATCACAAATCAACACATTAGTATATTTTCTTAGAGTTTTAGTTCACAAAATCTAATATGTTGATATTAAAAACGTATAAAAAAATATATTTAGAAAATTAATTTTCTATATCTTTGAAAATTGTTTAATCAGTTATTATTTAAAATCGACGTAGTGTCAAAGAAAAGACCTAATAATACATCACTATTAGGTTAGTTAATCAATATATAGTATAATTTATCTTATTTACTATCAAGTCGTTAATAAAAGTAAAATAAGTGAAAATCGTCTACTTTAAAAGTTTTTTTTAAATTAATAAAATCATTTAAATGAAATTTGTTTGTTTTAACATCTTGCATTGTCGTTCAGTTAGTATTTCAGTTTATCAAAAACTGCGATGGCATCGTGAAAATGAGTTTTGACAATTTGCCATGAACATGAATAAATTTATTGTTAAGCATAAATATTTAAAATCCGAACACACGCTGAGATTCATGCCGACATTACATGTATACCAAATGCAAAAGTAAGCACTATTTGCTTTGTAAAATCAGATTTGAAGTCTATTATTGTATTATTTTTATTTGGACCATTTTTTGATTTTCTAGATTAATTACAAAAATTAAATATATGCCAATGTGTTTACAGACTGATTGATTTGTGATTAATCTCTAAATATCTCTTAGAAAAATAATAACTTTAAGAATTTTTTTCTTGATTTTGTTAAATAGTATTTATTTATCGAAATATTAATAGTTAAATAGTTTTTAGGGGACTTATCTATTATAAGGTCTGATTTAAATTTTTTAAATACATTTATAACTTAATAACAAAAAAATTATCCAACTAAAGAAATAACTGGTAATCGATGTAAATTTTTAAGTCAGTATTTTTGAAGTTATTAACACTTTAATTAATATAGACTGGAAGCGAGGTGAGGGTTATTTTATTTTTATCATTACCCACCATACTGCTGTACTTCTCTTGATACCTAAGTATAAAAAGGTTTAAAACTTTTGAACATTTGTTTAAAATTTGTTATTGACCAGTTTTTTTCTTATTTGGATTATTTTTAAACATTTAAGCTAATAAAATATGTATATTGTCATTAAAATTTTAAGTTGATACTCTATAAGACCTACAACATATTTAATCAATTATTAATCATTCTATATATTTAAAAATATATAAGAAAAATTTTATAACATTGTCAATTTTTTTTACTCTTATGTAAAACAATTATAAACCGTTTATAGTAATATTAATTGTAAATAATAGTTATAATTTCTATAGTCATGTACTAAATGTTTTCTTATTCTTTTTAGAACATATTGCTATCAAAAATTAAAATCATAACTTTTTGTCTGTGAGTTACCTTCTCGTGATCTATTAAAAAATAACATTACACTTTTTAGTGATAAGTATTATTATTATTGTGAGACTGTCTTTTAAAAAAAATTGATATAGTGATGTTATTATTTGAATTTTTATAAAATATAGTTTCATACAGAATTTTGAATATGATTGATCGTAAAATCTCTTATATGTACTCAATGGGTTTTTAATAGCTAATAAAGGACATTTAATTAATTTTAATAATTAGACACGTGGAGCAAATTGTTTTATTTTGCTTTGAGCATGTCCTCAAATTATTAAATATCAACAACCTAAACTTTTTATTGTATTCGTTTAATTATTTTTGAATTTATTGCAGAAAATATTTAAAGTTGAGAAAAAAAAGTTTTAAAAAGAAAGTTTTTGTAACAATTTTGAACGTTATGAATATATTATAAAACCGTCGAAAAAATAGATTATTAGTCCACTTATATCTAATAAACTTTTGAAACAATATAATATATATATAAATAAGATACTATATTATAGCATGTCATTTAGTTATTTTTTACAAATATTTTTTTATGACTCAGTCTTATCGAATGATATTTGATAGTCGTCATGATTTTACACCTTATAAAGATTATTACTGTTCTATAATGATTTTTTGATAGGCTGAAATACATATATATTATACTATATTTGTTATAAGGTGCACCATGAAAAAGAGAAAGGTTATAAAAAAATTATTCTTCCTCGGCTGGAAATTAACCAATTGAACTAATCATAACAAACTATAACAATTAAACACTTTTGATGAGCTACAGCGTAGTAGAAACTTTTATGAACAGTGTGATTTAGCCCGCTTAATTAACTTCCTTTTGAGTTTTAAAAATTGTTAGGAGTCACTTAACTACAGATAAAGCTAATCAGAAATTTTACAACTCTCACTACTGTGTAATATTTTTGTTTTTAAACCATAAATTAATTATAATACTGTTATAAAATATTGTACACGTTATATACCGAGTTAAATAATTATNAATACTGTTATACAATATTGTACACGTTATATACCGAGTTAAATAATTATTTATGTTTTTAATTACCTAAAATAAAATCCACTAGTTCAGGAGATATTTAGGTACGCGCCTTTTCCCCGCGTTCCCATAGTTCTTAATTAAAAATCTTCCATTTTTTAGTGAGCTCCAACATTGATATACTAATAAATTATTAAACTAATTATGAACAATTATTAAAGTCTCAAATAAGTAAATATAAAAAGTCAAGATATTTTTGATGCTCTCTAGCTCTCCCTGTGTATGACATAGTACATGAGATTATTTAACATTTGCTCCTTAGCTGTACAAAAAATGTTCCAATTTTTATATAGCGGAGTTGATTGTAAATCGCATTTACATTTTTAACAGTAATTTGAATGTATTAGTGACAAGGTAACATACCACGTAGGTATAAATTGCCGATTAAACGTTATCAAGTGTTTTTTTGTACGTTTTACTGCGGTTGAATGTTTTATAGTTAGCATTAATTGTATAATTTAAATAGTTAACCAAAATTTTAATTATATATTTAAAGTATTTTCGGTAATAAGTTTTTAATTTTCTTTTAAATATTAATATTTAAATAATGAATTTTCCTTATTATTATATCTCATCATTAGTTTTATCCAGAAATTTTATTTGTAACTTTAATAATATGAAATCATTATAATAACAACCTCATTTAAAGCACTACATGTATAATTTTTAATTAAGATAATCATATTTTGTAAGTACCTATTCGTCATAAAATACATTGTCGCGGTGTAGTTTTCCGTATAAGCTGCTGCTACAATGGTAGCTTTAAAACTTTTGCTAAATAAACATTTTATAAAACGCAAGAGTAAAGTAATAAAAAAATGAATGAGAACAAAGAATTTTCATGGCTTTGTCATTTGTTGCACTTAATTCCCTGACAGACAACAAACCAAGCATGTAATATTACTATATAATTTTTTATTTTATGTTGCTTTTACATCAAGAATAAAATATTTCAAACAAATTTAATGATCTTGATAATTTTCTTGTTTAATTTGAAAAGTGTCATGGATTCAACTGCTAATTTATTTTTATCCGCTGAGTATTTTCTAAGCAATTTTTTATTTGACATACAACATTAAATAAAATGTACAACCTTGTAATTACAATTGCGGCTGTAGTACTGTATGCATGTATCGCTCTTTTTGCATGAGAACACGTTTTATTTATTCATCGTTTTTTACATTTTTAACATTATAAGGCAAATTTTATTGTGTTCGCGATTTAAATCTCGCTAGTTAAAGTGAAGTATTTTTTTACAAAGTTTGATAAATATTTTATTAAATAAAAACAATATTTAATTGTAATTATGAAAATATATATATATGAAACAAGAACTAGAGTCCTATTGTATTAAATTTTTTCTTTTATCATTTCCCGCCAAACTATTGAAAACACCCTCTGTAAACATTCACAAATATAACAATTATTTTCAGACAATTTGAAAGACTTTCGAAAAATTGCCACAGAATTAAATGAAAAATAACTTCTTTGTATTTTTATTTAGAAATCCGAATTTTCATAAAAATATAATGAAACTACGAAGAATATAAATTATTTACAAATATAAATATATGTTTTTAATGGGATTACTATTAATTTTTACGTAATTTGTATACAAATGAGTACTTTAAGTTACCAAGTACATACTATGAATTTTAACGAATAAAGTTAATAAAATAGAAATAATTCAAAGTTAATAATTATGATTTTATTTTCCGGTTTAAGTTAATGTTATATTATATTTTCAACGTTATTTTACAACAGAAATAAGAGCAGCTACTGTTCCTCCTATACAATAGTTATTACTTTTATTTTCATGCACGACAATGTATCAGTGTTTCCTAAAAAAAGTATATAGCACAACTTTCACTTTTTCTGTATTCCCGTTAGTGCTCTTATTTCTTTATCCTTAGTTGCAGTTGCTTATCAATTAACGTATGTAGTTCTATAATAGTAAGGAAAATAATTTAACCATAGTTCACTCAAAAATGTAGCTTCTTATTTATTTTAACCTAAATTTTATAAAGAACTGTATACAGACTACCTGTTTTTTACCAATTAAATCAANATTTTATAAAGAATTTTATACAGACTACCTGTTTTTTACCAATTAAATCAATTTATTTTAACAAATTATTTCAACCAGGGAATGATCAATGTACTGAATGTCCCAAACCTAACTGATAACGCAATGCAATGTACAATTATCATTTTGATTTTTTTGATATAATTTTGTCTTCATTGACTTTGTTTAAAGCATACCCTGAATGCAATATCTTTTAAAATAATGAAAAATATATTTTTTATTATTTATCACTATTGAAAAAATATATAAGTAATTTTTTTTTTAATTTTTCAAAAATTTCAAAACGCTAATTTGATTACCCCTTTCTTTATAAAAACTTTTCATGGGTCGATAATAATTTTAGGGCAAGTTTTCACGAGTTACAAACATTCTAATATATGAATGAATATGTAGCGATGGTGATCGCAGCTCGTACTTATGTAGTTCACTTCACCTGTGCACAAACAATAAATGATAAATAGTAAAATAAATATGCTATAAAGGTAGTTTATTATAATTAAAGTTCAACAAAATGATAATTTTATCAAAAGTTATAAACATTATCATTAAGGTCTGAGATATCTCATATTTTATAGAAGTAAAAATAATATGCTTTATAAAAAAAAATTCAATTTTTTAGCGTTAAAAAAAAGGAAATTGCAACTTTATTCAAGAGAAAAATATTACGATTTAATAAAAAAGATAAAAGTCTAAATGGTGTGTTTTAAATAAATAACAAATTTAAATGTTACCATGGTATTAAAATTATTACAAATTTTTTAAATTTACCACTGTTAAGTAGATAGTAATTAAGTATTGAATGATATTTAAATATAATTTATGAACAATGAATGTAATAATTTGTCTACTGTAATAATTTTTAATAAAAGTAGTTCATTTTTGACTACCGATTGTGGATAAATTCTCGTCTGAGTGTAGTATTTACATTGGTTACAATTTTTTTTATTTCGATTTGCAAGATATATGTTTTTTTCATCAAATCTGAAATATGCATTAATATTTTTA